TGAATGAAGACAAAAACACACCAGTGTGGACACTGGGGTTTTACTTCCAGTTGGTTAATTAGCTGTGTGTGACATGTTGGCCAATTAGTTTTTAACCTCCTGCAAATATACAGTATGGTGCCTGCACTACTCAAAATGTTGATTTTTGGTTTAAATCATCTTTAAGGTACCTCTCAGCTCTAAAACTATGACTCTAGGCCACGTAATGGGGTATTTTTAAAGTTGCTTCTACTTACTTCTCTTTCCCTTTTTAATGGTTCATTTTATACTTAAGAATTTTTGCTAAAACATAATTATTTATTAAGCATCCATTTCCTGGGTCACCTTCAGTGTTCTCCTAAAGATTAAGGTAGAACATTCACATGCACAAGCAAATGAAGACATTTCCCCAAGTGCTGCTTATCGGTTAAGCACTGAACATATGAATACATACAAAAATTGTCAACGAAGGGTTGATACTGTACATTTTTAACTACAAAAGCTTTTTACCCAGTACTGACAGTGTAGCAACTTTCCAAAACTGAAAAATCTCAAAGGAGAGCACTGGAACAGGCTTGTTTTTTGTTTTTCTTTGTTTTTAAAGCAAGAAAGAGTACACGAAATAAATTTTATTGTATTTTAAGGCTATTAAAATATCCACCTTTTAAAGATGTGTAAGAATCAGTAATAAAAAGCACATATATTGCATAGTAAAAGGGTGTCCTTTAAAATGCAGAATTGGTAAACACTAAACGGTTCCATGCTTGAATTGACAAGTATTTGGGGAGTAACATTGAATGGGAGAATCAGTTATTAATTGGATAAAGGTCCCTTGTCACTCCGGGATTCTGTGAATCACACTGTAATTCCTATTGATATATCTTTAAATATTAACATCAGTAGATACTAACATTCTCCATAAAGATACAAAATGAAAATATAAAATATTAAAAAAATTTTGTGCATCATAGTTGCACTTTTTAAAGTAGGAAAACGTCCAAGTAAGTGTTGAGTTAGAAGCTATGCTAGAATCTGTCAAACTAATTGAAAACAGGGACACTAACTAACATATAAGTAGTCAGATAGTCTGGGTTTTAAAAAATTGTTCCATGGTACTGATTACTTTTAAAGTGTACCTAATTTTTAAAATATTTTATGTTGTTAAAATAACAATTGCATACTTTATATGGATTCTTAAGTTTTAAAAAGTCAACTGAATGTGCAAAGATGGTATAATTTTGGAATTATAATTTTTAAGTTGTTTAAACTAAATTTCCAATCACCCTATTCAGAAGCTTTGTCTTTGTTTTTCCCATAAGGAAAAAGAAAGTCAAATAAGTTCCAAAAACTGTCCTCAAAGTGAGGATTACGTTTGCAGAAGGTTGGATTTATAGACCGCAGAGGACGGGGATGGATATGACAGTGGTGGCTGGCATTCCGAGCCTCTTTATGAAATCAGTACTTTTTATACTTTTTATCATCTTATTAAAAAACATTTTTTGTTGATAATTTTAACAAAGGCAAATTGTTGTTATAAACTTTTTTTTTTTTTTGATGCTTCAAGCACATGTTAACCATTTTTTTAAATCCCTCCTTTTGGTTCCTCCCATTGTTCTAAAATAGGACTTTCATGTTATTAAAACTTCAAAAGATGATCCACCCAGGATGAACAAAGCATCACCAAGGGGAAAGAAAACTTTATCTTTACAAAAAACTAATGTTAAGATTATATATAGATGTATTCTTTACATTGGATCTTGTATTAGAGTCCTCCTTAAAGGAAATGAAATAGTTTAGTACTCTTAGCATTAGAGCTCCTAGATTGGTGTTGATAGCTACAGTTTTAAAATGTATTACCTGAAAATGAAGTTAATTTTGCATTATAAGAGCACACCTGATCTATGTAAAAAGTGTCCATTTGGTGTATTTTTTTTAAAAAAAGAAAGCACTTTCATATTAACAAGTAGCATGTGTATGAATTTAGATTTTCATATTTGTGTCTGTATTCAGTGAAGTAAAATTGAGCATTCAAATGTTTGTTGATGGCAACATTAACTATTAAATTAAAGCACCTTATACTCTGCTGCTTAAATTTGCTTGTAATTGCACCTTTGTTACCTGCACATTTTCACATAGAATATTGTTGTAACATTGCTTCATGTGGGTCTGGATGGAAGATTAGTGGGCCTACAGGATCATTTATTTATATTGTTTATATTACAATAATATATTGTAGACCAGTTGTAAGTTCATTTCTTTACAAATAAAAGCCTCTTCCATTTGGCTGGTCTATTGAATAATTTTTTTTTTTAAGCTTATGAGACATGGGGAATCCTCTAAACAAAAAGCTTAATAAGAGGTTTGAAATAAAGTCTTCTGATTTAAAATCTGCAAAGAAAGAGTATAAATGTTTACTATTAATAATTAAATTCAACATATTTTGAAGCATTTCAGTCCCATATCATGGCCAATTTGAAGGCAATACATTCAGAGGAAAAAGGTACAGAAGGAAAGGGGGCCAGTTTTAAACGTTCTACTAAACTTTCAAACACACCCTGTCATTCCCTTGCGCATAGGATTACTTCTACCGAACTTTGGATACACAGTTGGCTCTCTCTATATGCATTTGGTTTTTATAGAACAATGTGATTTTTATTCCTATTTTTCCTAAGTATTTTTTTTAATAGTGTACCACTCATTATGGTGGTTATTTCTCTTCCCTGCCATGTTCTTCTGTTAACAGACCTGATCGTAGGGGTGGGCATGTGATTCCAGTCAGGCCAGTCATTCCCTGGGTCCCTGGGATTTTATATTTGAAGTTAGAAGACGCTTTAAGTTGGAATAACACAAGTCCTGAACTGTTAGCAGAATGCCCAGCATGTGGACAAACAGAACAGAAACTGACATCCTAGAGAGATTCTCCTTGCCGTTTACCATGTTGTCTTTCCAATATCTAGCTTCTTACAATGGCTCAGGTTGGGTTTATATTACTTGCAACTCGATTCCTAACTGTCCAGCAGCATTCCCAAACTTGTTGTTGTAGATGGCTAGTGCTAACTAAGAAGACTTTTGTGTAAGTAAATGGGTTTCTTCACTACAGGACAGTAAAGCCTTAAGATGTTCATGGGCGTTATACATTTCCAGGTGACAGTTACGAAACAACATTCTTCACATTCGACTCCGAAACTATTCCCTTGAGAGACAATGAGTGGGACTAACGAAAGGCAGTGTAGGACAGTGGTAAAGAGCGTGAACTCTGGAGCCAGACTTTTGGGTTTGAATCCCAGCTTCCCCCACTTACTACTAATAGTTGTATGATCTTAAGTGAGTTCCTTAACTTCAGTGTTTTAATCTCCTTAAGAAAGGGATAATAATAGTGCTCATCAGAGAGTTGTGAGGATTAAATCAGTTGCTGCATGTAAAACACTTAAGACAATGCTTGGCACACAGGAAGCACTTCCGAACTCTTGGTTATTATTAATGCTCCATTGCACTTGTTTTAGGACATTTTTCAAATAATGGAAAGTAATCCATTTGTGTATCATGAACTCAATTTAGTGGATCAGAACCAGCATTAAAATGACATTATAAAATGTATTTGTGCATAATATTTAAGGGTATTGTTATGACATATACATGTATAAATGAAGTATATGGGACATGATGTAAAAAATGTATCTTACTATAATGTCAAAAAAATTAAAAGTCACCAGTTTAGGAAAAGGTAGGTTCAGATTTATGCAGCATATATTAGTATTTGTAAATGATCAAAGTATCTGTGTAGCTTACTTCATAAAGTGACTTCAGATTATTCTGCCACTTACGTTGCTTTACTCCAGTGGTTCTTAACTGGGGGCAATTATACCCGCCTACCAGGGGAGGTCTGGCATTGTCTAGAGACATTTCTGATTGTTACTACTGGGGGAGGAGGTATGCTACAGGCACCTAGTGGGCAGAGGGCAGGCATGCTGCTAAACATCCTGCAATGTACAGGTCAGCCCCCCCCGACCCCCGCAAAGATTTATCTGACCCAAAACGTCAAGAGAGCAGAGGATAAGATACCCTGCTTTACTTAGTGATACATTGCTAATGTGATTATCATTTGACATGCAAGTACGTCATAATTGAAAACAAATCTGGTAAGTCATGGAAAGAGATCTAGTTACTAGTCCCAATTCTGTAAAGTGAGCTACTGAAATTCTTTTCTTCCACAAATATTTACATTAAGAACATTTTCTTAATTAGCTAAATTAAAAATGAGTTACTCTCCTTACACTGAAGTTTGAACCAAATCATTTTAAGAAAATGATTTTGATTTTCTTGCTCAATATGATAAAAATGTTTATTTAAGTCTGTATCTTAAGGTTGGCAGTGAAACCTCAGGTTTACAACAGTTTGCATTCAGTAGTTTTTTGAGTAACACAAACATCAGTATGGCCAAATGTTAACTCATTTCACTTTTGTGTTAATAACAAGTTAATATTTGTGATACACAGTGTTCTTAAACAAGTATAAAAACTTCTTGAGATTGTTTTTAAAAGAAAATACATTTTAATAAATAATATCACAGCCCGAAAGACACATTCTGAAAAGGTATCAAAGTTGGGGGGGCGGCTTCAGTTCATTTCTTTATGTGTCATGAGTTCTTTTCCATTTGTAAAATGATTTTTTTTTTTTTTTTGAGACAGAGTCTGGCTCTGTCACCCTGGTTAGAGTGTAGTGGTGTCTGTCATCATAGTTCGCTGCAACCTCAAACTTCTGGGCTCAAGCAGTTCTCCTGCCTCAGCCTCCCAAGTAGCTGCGACTACAGGTGCGCCCCACAATGCCCGGCTATTTTTTCTATTTTTAGTAGAGATGGGGTCTCGCTCTTGCTCAGGCTGGTCTCAAACTCCTAAGCGCAAGCAATCATCCCACCTTGGCCTCTCAAAGTACTAGGATTACAGGTGTGAGCCACCACACCTGGTCTGTAAAATCACAATTCTTATTATAGTTGTTTTAATTAGTTTTAATATGACAACATATTAACAAATTATTATTGATATGGGCTTTTCAGTTTGCCCAAGATTAGGAATTATAAATGGAATGAAGCAGCACTTCCAGTTGACAAATGGATCCACAGGTAACGCAATGTCTCGTAAATTAAGCTTGTGACAATTAAACCAATAAACTGTAGCTACGAGGAAACTATTGAGAAAGTACAACCAGGGAATGTTCATCTCAATATATGCTGGAATCTGTACTTTAAATAAAAGAATAATTATCTGAAGTAGTACAAATGGTAACCAGGTACCAAGAAAACAGACAATGAGCTTAGACAAGAGTATTTTTTTAGAGCTCACTGTATAACTAGATTGGGATGAAAAAGGAAAATATAAGATAGTCTCATTCATATAGGAAGTTATCCTAATAGCCTGTACCAAGGTGATAACTTCTGACCAAGAGGTTATAAAAGCCACAAATAGAATCATCATCATGGAAAATGACAGCCAGTAACTCTGAATGCTAACATAGAAAGGACACTGATAAGAATGAATATTCTGTGCCTTCAGGCTTTGGTAGATAGCTGGATCTCCCAAAACATAAGCAAGGACTGAAATCCAAAGTAAAATTATTGTAAAGAAATAAAATAACTTTTGACACTTAAATGAAAGCTTGGTTGTTTTAGAGAAATTCAGGTAATAATCTATACAAGCTATAAGGAAAACTGGATAATGCAAAAAGCCGTAAGTAAAGGAAATAATTTGAGTAAATAGGCAGATGTGGTATTTAGTAAACCTAATGCCCAAAAGTACAAAATCCCTTAAATAGGATATAATGGAAATGTTTACCAAAAGTAAAAGGTCAACAAATGCTAGTGAAATGCAAAAATATTCCATAAAATTTTGATAGGTGTTTTTTCTTCTCATTCCTAGTGTTAGGATATTTAATAATATTTTCCCAAGTATGATCAAAAATAGCAGACAGTTAACATCTAGGGGCTGGTTTGTTTGATTTAACTGGTACTGAAAAGAGCAGTTCTCTGAAGAAAGAGCAGTCATATTTTTAGTTAAATTTCAAGACGGCCTGATGAAATACACATGATAAAACACTGCTTCACTTTATTTTCCATCCCTGCAAAAAAAGTGAAAAGAAAATCTTGTTATCTTGATGCTATCTCTATTTTGAAACTTTACAAAGCAAGCACCTCTATTCTTAAAAATCTAATTTAGTTCATTTTCGCAAATAATTAAATATAGGAATTATATTCTCATAATACTTATAGAATATAGAACATGATCAAGAAGAATTAATGTGTATACTCTGGTTATTTACTGAGACCTAGATGGTCCAGAATTCTGAGATCTTTAAATCAAAATGTTATATATAAATTAATTATTACCTTCCTATATAAGTGTAGGTTTTAATAACTTGTAAAGAGAAAAAAATACTTTTATCTGCTGGAGCCTAAATCCATGCCTAAAATAGCAGCTTGATAGTAATACTCAAAACAGCCAGTGATAGCCTTTTTTTTGAGACAGAGTCTCACTGTGTTGCCCAGGCTGGAGTGCCGTGGCGTCAGCCTAGCTCACAGCAACCTCAAACTCCTGGGCTCAAGCCCGAGTAGCTGGGACTACAGGCATGCGCCACCATGCCCGGCTAATTTTTTCTATAGATTTTTAGTTGTCCGATTAATTTCTTTCTATTTTTAGTAGAGACGGGGTCTCGCTCTTGCTCAGGCTGGTTTTGAACTCCTGAGCTCAAACAATCCGCCTGCCTCGGCCTCCCAGAGAGCTAGGATTGATTACAGGCGTGAGCCACCGCGCGGTCCCACTCTGACTCCCAACATTACCTCAAGCCCCATTTTTGTCACCAGAATTTAGAGGCTATACTTATTCGGCCCTTTAACATAGCAGTTTTTAAAGCTCTTTAACCACAGGCTCATTCACATTAAATCTGAAGCTCAGAGGTTTAAAACAGATGGTTGAGCTAAAAATAATGAGAACACAGATGAAGGAAAGAAAGATAAGGATTTATCTTCTGTATGTGATCTTTCAGGTATGGCGCCTGGAGAGAGGAGAGAATACAGGGAAGGAGCAGGGACTGAGTATGGATACCTGGGAACATTACGACATAGTAGGTAAAGGCACAGGAAAAGGAGTTGATGCTGGAGTGATAAATGCATTTTGAAGCAGGGAAAAGAGATGATGAAGAAAGAGGTCAGAGAAGAAGAAATCAGGAAAGGACGGAAGGAAAGAAAGGA